AAGATACAAGGGCTTTCTACAGTAATCTACAGCAATCTTCTCGAACACCGTCCCATCAAATTTCAGACAAAAAATTCGAAAAATCGAAAAAGAATCTTTGAAAATAGCTGAAAACCCTAAAAAGGTTTGAACATTTAGCGAAAAATCGAAGAAAAAATCAATTTTTCGTTTTTTTTGTAAATCTTCACATTTCTAGATTCTTAAGTTACTTGGATTCAATTTTTTGAAAATTGAAAAGTCCTCAAATTTGAAAAAATTTCTGAATTTTGAAATTTTTTGAGATTTTTCGAGATTCGAGATTCTTGAATCTATTGGATTCTCAGATTTTCAAATTTTCAAATTTTTGGATTCTTTGGATTTTTTAATTTTTTGGAATTTTAGATTCTCAGATTTTTAGGTTTCTAACTCTTTAGGCCTCAAAATTTATAGTTTCAAATTATCGTTCTTCTCGATTTTGAGAGTTCAAAACCTTTCGATTTTTCGAGAAAAAGTTGATTTTTTCTTCAATTTTTTTTGCAAAATTTTTAGACTTTTTTAGGTTTTTCAGCTGTTTTTGAAGATTCTTTTTCGATTTTTCCGGTTTTTTTGTCTGAAATTCCGTCTGTAATGACGGGAGATTACTGTAGATTACTGTAGAAACCTAATTTTCTCTTTTAGTTTTGTTTTTTGCAAACATAATCACTTAAAAATGCAGATGAAAACTGCTACACAGCGAAATGAGTTTTCTACAGTAACCTACAGTAATCTTCACAAAAACCGTCCCATCAAATTTCAGACAGAAAAAATCGGGAAAATCGAAAACAAATCTTCAAAAAGAGCTGAAAAACCTAAAAAGGTCTAGAAACTTTGCAAAAAAAAATCTCCGAATTTTGAATTCTGACAGTCTCATTTAATTCGTTTTTGAGATTTTTCGAATTTCGAGATTCTTGAATCTATTGGATTCTCAGATTTTCAAAATTTCAGATTTTGGAATTTTAGATTCTTAGATTCATAAATTACCTATCTCTAAAATTTCTCTAATTACCCTCTTTCCAAGCTTCAGATGGCAACGCTCCTCGCCGAACGACTTCAAGTATTTCGATGTCGAATTTCGAGCTTGCCACGTCATCAGCCGCTCAAGGCGTCTCATTCTTCCTGGCATCCGTCACCCTTCAACGAATGGTCGATCTGTTTTATGGAGACTCTCGAGTGCAGATTGATTTGAGAAATTATCAAATTCAAGAGGGAAAAACGCCTGGGAGCACGAGAACTGCTTCGATTCTGACTGATACTCATAGTCATCATACGAATGTTAGTAATATTGGGAGACATCTGGATTGATAGAGGCACAGATGGACAGAAAGGGGTGGAAAATAGGGAAAAATTCCTGAAATTCATCAAAAAATAGCTCAAAATTCACTAAAAATGATCCCAAAAGAGCGATTTTCCACTATTTTAGCCTATGTTTGACTTCAAAAAAGTTTTAAAACCGGAATTCAGGACACACAGACAGGCTTTAGTAGGATTCGATTTTTTACTATTTTAGACCCCAAAAACAAGTATTAATAAACCGTAAATCCGGACATCCGGACACACAGACAGACTTTTAAAAAGATAAACCTTTTCAAATTTCCAGAGAACTACGTCAACTGCCGGCGACTCATCTCGATATGTCTCTCTTGGCGGTGCTGTTGGACAGATTCTCGTCGACGACGTTCCCCAACAAACGAACTCAATGGCTTCTGGATCGACGGCTTCTGCGAAGACGTCGACGACGACGACTACTGGAACGTCTTCAAGTGACATCAGAAGAGATCAACGTGGAATGAGTATGCATAATTCGAATCAGATCAATACTAGAGATGCTTCACAACGAACGGTTTCTGTGGCGGAGACGTCGAGATTCTCGGAGCAGACGTCTTCTACACTGACCTCTTATAAATCGGCACCGCCGATTCCAGAATCAGAGCATCATGGGGAGAGTATTAGTCAACTGGTGGCGAACTCGACGGTTTCGGCGCCAGCTGGTGGGAATGATTCGACACTGAGAGCTGGTATACATCCGGCAGATTTGAAAATGATGGTTGGAAGACATCAAAATAATCAGCCGGCGAATGATCCGTATAGGAATGCACAACGATTTGTGACCAATTTTTTGATTGGTAAGTGTTTTGTTTTCTTGTTTTGGATTGACAAAAGTTTCCAAAAAGATTCGTCTAGTCTGTTTGTTCCAAGGGCCTGGAGGGCCCTTCTAATACATGTTTTACGGTATCTCTAAGAATGAAACAGGAAAAATGAAATCTTGGGATTTCAGATTTTTATTACAATTTGAGAATTCTAGAGTTTTTGATACTTAATTTTTTTTAATTCACAGTATTCTCCTTCAGCCAACCAAGCCTCGATGCCGTACGTCGGTGCGAAACGTCCAAAAACCGATCGAATGTTGGACCTAGTCGGCGATTGGCTCTTTTCGATTGTCAACTCACCATCGAATAGTCAACGTGTCACTGGAAACGATCCTTCGGGACATGGGCATTATAAGAAGAATAATGATGGTGTTTCGGATGGTAAGAGGATTTCTGATTTTCAGGTTTTTTGGATTTTCAGCGTTTTCTGTGACAGATTCTGAGCAGAAATTCAGGGATTTTCGGGCTGATTTTTGAGGTTTTTAGCTGAACAATTCTAAAGGTCTAAGCTCAATTATCTCGATTACTGTAAGAGATAAGAAGAAGCTGTCCACTGATAAAATGTTAGTGATATTATGATAAACATTTTATCAGTTAACAGATTTTTTATATCTCTTACAGGAACCCAGATAATTGAGTTCAAAATGGAACACCACCTGGACACTCACTTTGAGCTCAATTATCTCGGTTACTGTAATAGATATCAAGAAGCTGTCAACTGATAAAATGTTTTTGATAATGTGATAAACATTTTATCAGTTGACAGATTTTTGATATCTTGTATAGGACTTGAAATAAATGAGTTCAAACTTGACAGTATGGAGGCCCTTCTATTACAGGTTTAACGGTAATTTGAAAATCTTTTTTTTTCAATTTTTTTTAAATTGTTAAGCTCAAAATTAGCCACCACCTATACTCGAACTTTGAGCTCAATTATCTCATTTTCTGTGAGAGATATCAAGAAGCTGTCAACTGATAAAATGTTTATCATAATATCACTAACATTTTATCAGTTGACCACTACTGTCAAGTTTGAACTCATTTATCAGCTTCTCGATATCACTTACAGAAATTGAGATAATTGAGCTCAAACTAGAACACCACCTGGACTCTCACTTGGAGCTCAATTATCTGGATTACTGTAAGTGATATCGAGAAGCTGTCAACTAATGAAATTCTTATCATAATATCACCAACATTTTATCAGTTGACAGATTTTCTATATCACTTACAGAAATTGAAATAATTGAGCTCAAAATAGATAACTACCTGGACTCTCACTTTGAGCTCAATTATCTCGATTTATGTAAGAGATATCAAGAAGCTGTCAACTGATAAAATGCTTATCATAATATCACTAACATTTTATCAGCTAATACATTTTTGATAGCTTTCATGGGAACCCAGATAATTGAGCTCAAAAAAAATGTAATAATTTTGTATTTCTGGACTTGAGAAAGTTCGTGGTTTTTCGGACTATCTTCTATTTTCCTGTTTATTTTTCTCCTCTATCTATGCATCTTCTCCCTCTATTTTCCAACCCGTCAAGATGATATGAGTGTGAAATGATTTTGTGATAAGCTTGACTGGTTGTGTGTCCTCTTCGCCGTACTGTGTGTGTGCAAATACACACAGACCGTGAGAGGAAAAAGGTATCAAACTATTTTTCCTTTTTTTTCGTAATTTTTCATATTTTTCGCCTGTTTTTCTGGACCTATTTCTGACTGTTTTAGACCGATTTGGACCAAATTTGGACCAACCAAAGGAGAAGAAGAAGAAGCACGAACTGGTTTGAATTTCAAACGAAAACCAAACAGAAGGCGAAAAGGGAGAAAAGTAAGCGATGAAAATAATGAACAGAGAGAAGATATGACATACATACATAGACAGAAAAATCGAGAGATGCGTATCGGACACCACCAGCAACACGACCAGCAGAAGAAACAACAGTAGCCAACTACCATTTTCGGTGTGATTCGCAATTTTATTCAAGAGAAATAGAGATCGAAAGAAAAAAGGAAACAAGGGAGTGGTGACCGATAGAAACATATACCTCTACCGATTTTCGCGCCCTCCCCCACCCTGATCAACTGGCACTACGTGGATTTTTTTGAATTTGAAGAACACGTCTTCTGAAAATCCAAAGTCAAGGTATTGGAACCGGAAGAAGACGTTATCAAGAGATAAGAAACGCCGAAGATTTGCTGCTCTTTTAAAAATATTCAATGTTTAAAATTTGAATCTCCAGAAGGTTTTTCAGAATGACCCCAATCGCTCCACCGCGACGACGACGCCAGCAGACGTTGTCGTTGAGCGAGGAGCATCATCGACTGAGCTATGATTTCAAGGGTGAGTTTTATATTTGAAAAGTAAGGAATTTTCCGTTTTGGACTATGAGAAATCATCAACTATTCTAGAAGTTTGAAATTCTGAATAACAAGTTGCTCTTTGTCGAATTTCATTATTCTAGCACCAAAAAAACCGGAGATGTAGAAAAGAAACGGCGATGGCCGTGGCCGACGGTCCCACAACTGCAACTACGGTAGCCTAAAAACGCAGAAATTCCAATTTTCAAAAATATGGATTACTCTGTCATTCCGATGTTCCAAAACTCGAAGAATTCCGAGAATCCATTGTTCTGAAAAATTGGAAGATCCTGAAACTCTAAAATATTTGAAATTTTAAATTTTCCCACCATTCCGATTTTTTGGAGTTCTCGAATTTTCGAAAAACTTGGATTATTCTACAAATCCAAAGATTCTGAAATCCAGAAGTATCCTACCTCCCAACTTTTTGAAAATTTGGGAGATTTTGAAATATCGAAATACCTGAAATCCCTGTTTTTTTGTTTATTCCTTCCATTCCGATGTTTGGAAAAATCCGAAATTTTGATTTTCGGAAACCCGGAATATTCAGAATATTAGGAGATTCCGATTTTTGAAAATTCGACAGATCAATTTCTGTACGAAATATGAAAATTGTGTCAACTGATAAAACACTTCTGATATTACGATGAACAATTTATCAATTGACCATTTTTTGATTTTTCACAGGAAATGAGATAAATTGGCTCAAAACTAGGGTGTCTTCTATTGCAGAGTTTTCGGTTTTCAACTTGCGAAAAATGGGAAAACTCGATTTTTCGATTTTCTAATTGTTAAAATAATCATCCAGATCCATTTCAATCACTTTTCAAAAACATTGACAAATTCCAAATATTATAACTTTTGAACTTTTTAAATTTTTATACTTCCCCTATTCTTTTTTCTCCTGTCTCAAGCACCCCAAAATCCTTGGATTGGCTGGGTCAAGTTGATTCCTGTGTGTTTTAGATATACATATTCCGTTTCATCCAATTTTTCGTTCTGCTGTATCTGAAGAGTTTATCCATTGTTCTCTAAACCAAGGCCATTCCATTCCGTTTTTAATCGGTTTTATGGGTTTTTTTGTGGTTTGAGATAAACCGAAACCCAAATCAACAATGTGTGTGTTCTATTCCTGCAGAACTAATTATACCTGAACGCCTCCTTATTAGTACTTTTGTCGAGAATTCGAAATGATGGAGAAAAAAGGAGGAAGAATCAACAGAAACCGACATCATCAGGATGAGGATCCATCCTGAGAATCCGTCTTCTTTCCCTACCAATTATCCATAGAAAATGTGGATGGAGAGAAGAAGACGCTGTCCCTCAGAAACGCATCATCATCATCCGTTTTTCCTTTCCTCATCTTTCTCCCGATTCAACCGGTTATTGACCTTTGATGGGGGGAGGGAGGAGGGAAAAACTGACGGAGAGAGAGGGAGAGGAACAAAACAAACTGAAGCTTTGAGAAGCGGCCGCCGCCGGGCGCCCAGCTCCTCAGGAAAAAAGAAGGAGCACTTCATTTACGGGAGTCACTCTCTTTCCCTTTTTTCTTAGATTATTTATATCGCCCTTTTTGACGGTTTTGGAAAGATTCTAGGGATTTTTGGAGTCTGAAATCCTGAAAGTGATTTTATGAGATTCCAGAAATTCGATACCTTAGCGTTTCCTGAAGTCTGAAACTTTAGGATTCAGATCATAAGGTTTTTTGAAATCTTCCAGGAGTCTAGATTCAGCATTCTCTAGGATAGAATTGGATTCCTAGATGACAGGTTCTTTGACTTTTAGGCCTGTCCCCTCAAGATTTCCTAGATATTTTGGAAGTTTCGGGAAATCTGGATGTTTTGAAAATTTTTTGTTCTAGAGATCCTAGCTGGTAGATTCCATTGGTATAAGATCCGGAAATTTGAGTTCTGGAATCTCAATTTTTGTAATCCCAATCTTGGATCCTATGGATCTTAGATCATATGAATCCTAGACCTTTTGAATCCAAAATTCTATGAACCCGAGAATCTATAATTTCGAAGTTTTACGATTTCAAGATTCTGTGATATCTAGATTCTTCAGATCCTATAAATGCTAGATCCCATGATTTCTAGATCTTATGAATTCTAGATTTTATGAATCCTAGGTCCTATGAATATTAGATCTTATGGATCCTAGATCCTATGGATCCTAGATCATATGGATCCCAGGCATCCTTGCTTCTAAGAATCTTCAGAATCCTAGTTCTCAAAAATCTTAAGAATCTCATAAACCCTAAATCCTACAAATCTTAGGTTCTATTAATCCTAGATCCTGTGAATCCTAGAATCTACGATTTCGAATTTTTAAAATTTCAAGATTCTATGAGTTATAGATCTTTGAATCCTAGATTCTATTAATTTTCTATCTCAACGTTTCTTAATGCATCCTAGATCTTATGATTTCTTCAAGATTTTACGATTTTTAGATCCTATGAATCCTAGATCCTCTCCTTTCGTCATTTTACTCCCAACTCAACGAAAATATCTCACTCCAGATGCTCTGAAACAACAATGCAACATCATCACCACCTCCATCACTACCCACCCATCCCCCGTCCAGTGACGCCTTCAACCCCAGCGACGTCTTCAACCTTGAATCCTCCACCAGTTCCTCAGCCATTTTCCGTTCAGCTAAATGAAGTGGTCGCCAGGTTCACTTCAAAGCTATTGTTCTTAAGAGAGCCTTCTGGAGCTCCGCCCGTTGCTCATTCTTATCTGTCAAATCATGCAGGACCATCCGGTATTCAGGAGGATTTGAATCATAGTAAGAATTCCATTGTCTGCAAAATGGTTTCGAAAATATAATGGAAACCGAGTTCTCCTTATTTTTCCCAGTTTGAGAGGATTACGGTATAATACCCCCAGCTAAGACGGTCACCAAACAATAGGCTCTGACCCCCCGCCTTCCTTCTTTGCACTTCAATATATCAGTTCTAAATAATTTTGGAACAACTTTTGACATTTTGTGACAAAATTTTCGGGAAATGACACTGAATCGCTTAAACAGCACACACACACACACCTATATATGATATATTTATTGGAAATGGTTGAACAGCAAACAAAGGAAAGGCACAATAGGAAGCAGCTTCTATGGGGCTGCATATATTGCCTACCTGTCACTGACTCCCCATACGACAAAATAAATTCCGTATTTTATTCGGAAAAATTGAATTCCAAATGAGCAATGGACGATCCGACGAGCTCGGCGTGGAAACGATGGCTGTTTCGAATGTCTCGCACGGATTCCAGTGAGTTCGGAAATTGTTCAAATCGATATGTGTGTCTGTTTGTCCAGATATTATGGATTCTAGATCCTATGGATTCTAGATTCTATAGATTTTGGGCCACGGGGATCTTAGATCCTATGGATGCTAGATCCGATGGATCTTAGATCCTATGGGCCCTAGATCCTATAGATGCTAGATCTTATAGCTGCTAGATCCAATGGATCCAGGATCCTACGGATTCTTAGGCCTATAGATCATAGATCCAATGGATCCAGTACATTCTAGACCCTGTTAAATCTTAGATTCTGCTGGGTGCTGAATCCGATGGATTCTAGGATCCTATGGTACCTAGACCCCAAAAATCATAGATCTTAAATTCGACCTCCTACGGATTTGAAATTCTATGGATCCTAGATCCTAGAACTTCTAAATCTCAAGGATCCTAGACCCTATGGATCCTCGATTCTATAGATTATATATCTTATTGATTCTAGATCCTATGAATCCTAGATCCTGAGAGTCCTAGATGCTAAGCATTCTAGATCATATTGACTCTCGAGTCTATGGTTCCTATAGATTCTAGGTCGTTGATCCTAAGGATTTTATGGATTTTAGATTCTATAAATATTAGGTTCCTATAAATCCTTTAAATCCAAAAAATCTAAAATTTCAAATCGAATAATTCCCACTAATTGAAAACCCAACTCTTGGTCATCCGGACACACAGACCACCGATCTTTGAGCACAACTAGATCATAAATATACCCATATAAAGAGGGCTCGAAAGATCACAGCTTGACATGTATGTGGTGCCCGTATGAGCACACATACACACACACAGCACACGTGCGGTAAATCACCGCAGAGCAACAGCAGCGGCTCTTCTCCTCACAAACATGTCATCTTTCGCTTTTCTTGGTGGGATGGAATACCGTATTGTTTGTTCATTTGTTCGATTTGTGGCACACCGAGGAATGAAGAAGAGAGAAAGAGAAACAAAGAAGGACTAACTTCCTACTCTTTTTCTGTGTACTAGCAACACCTCTTCTAGCAGCGGCAGAGCACAAAAAACATCAATAATGCTCTTCTAGGTAAGCTGGAAATGCTCAAAATCAGCGCTAGATCTAAAAGATTGCTCAGCTCTAGGCAAGCTGGAAATGCTGAAAATTATCTCTCTATCAGATTGCTCATCTAAACCGCCAATACGGTATCATCATATCCACCGAACGAATGAATTCCTTTCCTCCTCTGACTATAAAACAGTTTTCACTTTGCATGCATAATGTATAATGCTGCCATCCATATATACCTCTTTTCCTCTTCTGGTCACTCCCTAACCCATTCCGTCATTGACTATAATCGTTGGGGTTTCCGCCTCGATTACGGTTATATGCTGTGGTTGCTAAGGGAGGAAGAGGAAGAAGAGGAACCAGTTATTCCAATAGAGAATAATATCCTGGAAATTCGGTTTTTCGAATTCTGGTGACTATATACTGGATCATCAGTTTGAATGGATGTTGGTTGGTGAGTTATGCAAAAAAAACCTATTCTTTGTTTAAGTAGCTCCACCGCCATATAAAAAGTCTATCGGACTAGATACAGTACCCCGGACTATCGTCATAAATACAGTACCCGAGACAAAATGGCGTATTTTGACATTTACATTAAAATACAATTTTCTTTGAAATCCTAAAGAAGTAGTCCCAAATTTTCAGATTTTGTTTTGAAAATTTCAGAATGTACTAAACAAAAATAGCGCTTCATTTTTGTAGTTGACAACTTTTTGTAGCTTTTCTAGTTTTTGAGCTATGCGCCTTTAAAAAGGGTGCTGCCTTCTGGCCGCTACATGTATTTTTAAAAGCGCACATCTCAAAAAACAAGAACATAACGGAAAAGTGGTCAACTACAAAAATGAAGCTTTAAATTTGTTTAGTATGCTCTGAAATTTTCAGAAAAAATCGTATAAGTTTTGGACCACTTTTTTGGGACTCCAAAGTTGACTATTTTCAGTGAAAAAAACTAGATTGTTAGATTTTTTTCCGGGTACTGTAGCCTCACAAAATTGAGTCGCTTTTTGAAAAAAAAAACTGAGTGAACTGTCGCATGCAGTTCTTTTTTGGAATCTACCGTAAAACCTGTATCAAGCGGGTCTGTTTAATATAAAGGTCCCCCTAATAGAAACCCTCCTGAAATACTTTGGAACAATAGAAGCGCCGGTCCTTCTAATACAGATATTACAGTATACAGCTTCAAGCCCAAAAAGAAGGGATACTGGTACCCGCTTTGAAAATCCTTTTTTTTTTGAAAATCCATATTTCTAATCGATTTAGCTTGTAAAACCTAGAACTCGATAAGCTTCTAAAATCCCCACATTTTGGAATCTTGGGATTCTCAGTATGCGCCTTTAAGCAGGCCAAATGAGCCAATGCTGCTGCTCGTCACTGTCAACAGTAATTCGTCATCAGTTAGTTCGTTAGTTTTTCCACTGGAAAAATGAAAACTAATCTATTCGCTCTGTTTGTTTTGGAAAAAGATTCATCAGTGAGCTAGCTTTCTACCATTGACTTCTCGATTTTGAAACTAAATATTTCAAAATGCAAGAATCATCTGACCTTCGTTTCCTATTTTGTACCAGTTTCCATCTGTAAACCGAAAAAAAAGGTTTTTTTAACCCCGAGAAACATATATTTTATCGTTTTTACCCGAATAAAAGTGTGTCATGTTTCAAGTTTCCAAACATTTCGATAGGTTTCGAAATTTCGAAATTTACAGTTGCCTTGAAAGTGAATCAAGTGTACTGTGTTACCTTGAAATTTGCAAAGAAAGTTTTTGAAAAGTTTTCTAATGAACTGAAAGTCCAGTTTGCTCAGATTTGCATACTTTTAGACTCCAAAATTTGGAAAATTAGAGTTTCTGAACCCCAGAATCCTGAAACTGCGATTTTATCGATTTTTGAGAGTCTGAAAATTTGAACGTCTTCTGAGCTACTTTGAAACTAGCAGTCGACTTCCTAGAAATTTCGAAATTCCGAAATTCACAGTTACCTTGAAAACGAACCGAACCATTCATGTGTGGATCTCCATCCCATTCCATTCCAAGTGTACTGTGTCATCGTTCCTCTCCTCCTCTCCTTTTTTATTCATTCCTTTTGTCAAAACATTTTTGGCATTGACAGAGAGAAAAAATGGAAAAGGCGCCCTTTTTTGGCCCTTTTTGCGGTGGTTATATTATACATTGCATTTTTCCTTCTTTCCGGCTTCTTCCTCTTTTTTTGGAACGTTTTTTGAGGAAGTTGCTCATTTTTTGGACTTGATTGATGGTTAATTTGAAGCGAAAATTTGGAATTTTCTCTTCAAAATTAGAGATTCTCAAGTCTACATTTTTTTTAAATACAACAGAAAAAGTTTCTAACTCAAAAAATGTTAGTTCTGACTATTTTTAGCTCAAAAATGGTTTAATTACTTTTTCACCCCAAAAAAAAAACGCCATGCTTCAGCTATAGCTATTTTTCAGCTCGAAAATCGGCTAAGAAACTCTGAAATTTTTGAATTTTTAAACTCAAAATTGAAGCTTTTCCAGTCGAACTTTTTAATAGAAAAAGTCTGAAAATTACTATTTTCAACCTAATCGTCGATTTCAACCATTTTTTGTCTATAAAAAAGGCCAAAATTGACTTTTTTCAACCTGAAAATCCACCACTTTTTGGCTCAAAAATACCTAATTTTCACTATTGTTTCCCCTTAAAAACAGCTACCGTAAACACTCTAATAGAATGCCACCCGGACCGTCTACTTTGAGCTTAAATGTCTCACTTCTTTCGAAAGATATCAAAACGTTGTCAACTGATAAAATGCTTATCATGATACCAGCAACATTTCCTTTGTTAACCACTTTTTGATATCTCTCCCAGAAAATGAGATAAAGGGTCTCAATTATGACGATTCGGGTGGCGTTCTATTAGAGTGTTTACGGTATTTTATACTTTAAAATTCCTTTTTTTCGATTTTCTAGTAGGTATAAAACCCATTTCCCTCTCTCTCGTAGTCTATTTATTTGCTTTCTCACTCGCTTATTATACATATATACCGTCAGAATAGAATGATTATTATAATAGAGAGGAAACGAGAAAAATAGGAACACACAATAGAAGAAATAGAGAAAGACGGTAGTCTTCTCTATTTGAGGTTTAGAATGAAAAACGAAACAAGTTTTGACAAGAAATGGGGAGAGAGATTGAGAGAAAGAGAGAGACGCAGAGAAAGAGAGATTAGTTCACTTTTTTTCCCTCTCTCTCTTGAAAACTTTGGATTTTTCCATACTCCCTCTCTTATGAGTTTTTGGGAATTGCGAAATTTTTTATTTTTTTCATTTTTTGAAAGAGAAGTCTTCCTGTTGCTAGGCACTGGAAGAGACACACCTGGATGCCTCTTTTTTCATTTTTTTCGTTTTTTTTAGAAAAAAAAATAAAAAAAGACAAAACTTGAGTTTTTTCTAAAATTCTGGAATTTAGGATTTTTTTAAGTTCTAAGAATCCAAATTTTTTGGATTCCGAATTTGGAAATTTTGAAACTCTGAGACTCCAGAGTTTTAAAATTCTGAGATTCTTCAATTTTCAAGTTCTCCACTTTTCAAATTCTCATATTTGATTTTTCAATTTTTAATTTTTCGATTCTTGAGCTCTGAAAATTAGAAATTTTGAAATTTGGGGTTATTTTTGAAAATTGGTTATTTTTTAATTTTTCAGGGTCTCAAATTCTATATTTTCAGATATTCAGATTCTTAGACTCTGAGATTCAATTTCCAGAAATTTTCAAAGTTTTGAGGCTTTCAGATTTGTAGTTATACAGTTTCTTCAAATTCTGAAACTTCAATATTTTGAAATTCTTCAATATGTAAAAATTCTGAGATTCTGAAATTCTTAAGTTATTGAATATCGAGATCCTATGATTCTGAAATTCCAAGATCCTCAGATTTTCAAACGCTTTGGATTCTGAGGTTCTGAAACATTGAAATCTTAAAAATATGAAATCCTGAGATTCTGAAATTTCGGAATTCTTGAATTCTGAAATTCCCAGATTCAGGAAACCTGATGTTCTGAAATTTTGATATTCTGAGATTCTGAAATTCCGGAATTGTAGAATTTTGATATTCTGAGATTCTTGTATACTGAGATTTTAGGATCCTGAAATTTCGAAATTTTGGAATTCTGAGATTCTCAACTTCTGTGATACCGAGATTCTAAGATTCTGATATTCTGAGATTCTGAAATTTTTGGATACCCAGATTCTAGGATACTGAAATTCAGAAATTTTGAGTTTCTGAATTTCTGATATCCAGAAATTTCGAAATTCTAAAATTCAGAAATTAAGGGATCCTGAGATCCTGCGATTCCGAGATTCTTCGAATTCTAAAATTCTAACCTTCATCTTCTTCCTCTCATTATTATCTAGAACGCCTTCTAAACGTCTTCTTCAGTAGTACAACGACCGTCTCGAAACCCCCATCTCGTCGTCCACCACCCCGGGGCCATTCGTGCCCCGGACGACACCCAGATGACCAACAACGTCTTCTGAATTCTTCTGAAAAGAAGAATTCGAAAAAGAAGCATCGAAAACGTTCTCTAATCCAAGAATTCGCTTTGGTGAATAACTTGAATCCTCTATGGGGATCACAACCATTTCTAGCACTTCAGAATGCGGATTTGTGTATGTTTGGTAACAGAAAATGGGGGGATAAAATGGGCAAAAAGGCTTAAAATCCAATAAAATCGAGCATAAAATCCACAAAAATGAGTTTAAACAGGAAAATTCAATAAAAATGATCAATAATCTCCTGAAAAATCCTTCTGAAACCTTTGATTTTTTCCAGATGTGATATCCGGCTTATCACTACATTCGGTTGATTTGGACGATATTCCTGATGCGATGAGTCCAATGATGGGACGATCCGATAGTAGTGCAGTACTCGGAAGTACTGCACACAGTGCTGTGGGCAGGAGGAAAAGTGTTGGTGAGTTTTTTTTGGATTTGAAGTTGAGGTACTGTAGGTACAGTAATCCAAAAACTATACCGAAAAATGTGAAAATTCTAGGGTTACTGTAGGTACAGTTGTCCAAAAAAAAGAAAGGTAGGATATTGTAGCTACAGTAATCTTTGAAAACGAAAATGGTTACGGTCACATTCGGAACCACGGTAATCCTAGATGGGCAAAGCCCTCGAAATTTCAAAAATCGGGTTACTGTAGATTTTGAAATTCTGAAATTACACTCGAAAAAATAATTTAAAGCTCAAGGATTACTGTACAGTTTAAAACTACAGTAATCCTATTCAGTCTTGAAACATTGAATTTAGATTTGTGGTTACGGTAGCTAAAGTACTCAAAAAAATGACTCCATCAAAAACTTCATTGAAAAATCGGAAATCTTTGGATACTGTGGCTACAGTAATCCCCACACTTTCCAAATTTCAAATTTGTTTTACTTGTCCCACAGTAGGCTAAGCCGACGAACTTTCATAATTCGCATTCTGTGGATTGCTGTACCTACATCATCCAAAACTTCATGCTAAAGTAGCGTGGATTACTGTAACTTTGAAAACTTTGAGTTTTCCCAAGCTCACAGTAATCCTATTTTGATTACGGTGGGTACAGTCCTTAAATATCAAATCTCCGCCTGATTACTGTGGGTGCAGTAATCCTCGAAAAATCTAGATTTCCGTTTTGTTAAGAGCATCTGGCATCGGTAGCTGCTGTACTTTAAAATTTGAAAATACCGCTTTCCTTGAAAATCGAGGATCTTGAATACTATTAGGTTGGCAGGAAAATAACTGTCCCTTGTTTTAGTTGTGAATAATACAAAAGCAGGATTAATCCAAGATTAGCATTATGCACCGTCGTGGTCCACGACATGTTGGCAATGTTCAGATAACTTGTGGATACAATACCTTCAAAAGCCAGCTAGCCGCGAATCAAAGTATTCATTTTTTCCTGTTTTTCACATAAATAGTGCAAATTTTCGTATTCTCTAGATGAGGTTGTATCTCTCCGAATATCCAATAATCTGATAGAGCTCAGTCGGGACTATAAGTAGGTGAGGGAGAACGGTCCCGCTGAAGCTGCTCAGGTCTGACTTGACTGCAGGTAAAAAATGAAAAAAACCTCATGTTCACGGAAAGTCACGCCGTACCTGAGCCGCTTTGGCTGGACGGTTCTCCTTTACCCCCGTTAAAGACCTGATTCAGCTCTATCAGATCATTAGTTATTCAAAAGTATACGACGTCATCTGGAGCTTAAGAACTTTAACACAATTGATGCCTGAAAAAATGGACTGGAGGGATACTTTGACTTGCCACTAGCGTGCTTTTGAAGGGATGGTACCCACGAGTTACCTGAACATTGCCAGCATGTTGTGGATCACGACGGTGCATATTGCTAATTCTGGATTATTCTTGTGTTTGTGTTATTTACTAATAAAAAAATGGACAGTTACTTTCCTTCCAACCTAATATACAGTAGTCTGTACCTACAGTAATCCGAAAAAATGACTTTTGAAAACTAGCCAAAAAACCATGGATTACTGTACTTTTGATATTTCAAAGTTTCCAAGACTACAGTAAAAGTTGTTCAATTTTCTTAATTCGACTTCCCGAAAAAAGGAAGATTACTGTATCTACAGTACCAAACCGAGTGGATTACTGTACTTTGAAAAATAAAAAAGCCTACAATAACCTAAAAACTTTCAGGAAGCTCGTGCTCTTCGGTTGCTGGCGAATCCGATGTGATGAGTTCGACGTCGACAGCCGGAGGTCATTCTCAGAAGCATTCCAATGATTTAGTGGATGGAATCATTGCTGGAAGAGCGGCCGCCCTGGCCTCCCTTATCAGAATAATCACATCGAAATCGTCAAATGAGAAAATTCCAAACGGACAGCTAGCCAATTTCTATGCTACAGTATTCCAGTGTCTAGTGGAGAAGGAGCGAGTAATGCTGTGTACTTTGTTCTATTACGGAAGGAATTTGTTCCGTTTGGGATTGCCTGGCATCGAAAGTCTTCTTCCACACTTTTTGTTCGCTTTGGATATTGTGATGATTGAAAGTTCGAAACTACGATTGCATCCGTCTATTTCGGAAGTTGAAATCCGAAGAGCATGTCTCAGAGCACTGTCTTCGGTGATTTGTTGGCCGACGACGTTTGGGATGAGCAAGATTCCACGTAAGTCAAAGAAACCGAAAAAATCTGGAAATCTAGAAACCTGGGAATCTAGAAATCTGGAAATATAAACATCTGGAAATCCGGAAATCTGAGATTCTGGAATTTGGAAATCTAAAAATTTGGAAATCTAGAAACCTGGAAATCTAGGAAATCTAAGAAATCTAGGAAATCTAGGAATCTGGAAATCTAGAAATCGGAAATTCGTAATACGGAATTTCAGGATTTTCAGAATTTCCAAATACTCAGAAATCTGAAAATGCCGGAATTCGGAAATTTAGAAATTCAGAAATTTCAAAAATTCAAAAATTTAAAAATTCAGTAATTCCGAAAATTTCAAAATTCAGACATCAGATATTCTGAAATTTGAAAATTCAGAAAATTAGAAATTCGGAAATTCTGGAATTCGAAAATTTCCAAAGTTCTGGGATTTGGAAGGTCCAGAATTCTAAAATTCCGAAATCCTGACGTTATCAAATTTAGAAATAATGAAATTCTGAAGTACATATTTTTCCAGAAATCGCCGAAGCAGCAGGTCTCAAATCCAACGCCACCACCTACCTCCACCTCAGATCGCGCATTTTCAAAACGCTAATGTTCAGTGTTCGAAACGAAACAGATCCAACGAATCTGCATATTGCACTAGCTCTTTGTGCAGTGTTGGTCGAAGAGAGTTGTCAATTCGATTTGGGTCTGAATGAGGAACAAACCAAAGAGATGATAAGAATCTCAACAACGGCGTCGAGTTCTGGACAACCGGAGAAAGGGTTGTGTGCGTCGATTGTGAGAGGAGTCTTATCAGCGATTTGTGACAAATTCGGGAGGATCGAAACGATTGATCACTCGACGGCACTCGCGATTATTGATGTGTTGAATTGTATCAGTCATGTACATCATACTGTACTTTTTAACAATAGTAAGTTTTTGGATTTCCGGGTTTTTTCGGTTCCAAAAGGATTCTGAAGTATCACGATGAATTCTGAAGCCGTTTGAAGGATTTTGAAAAATTCTAAATGTCTCCAACAAGTTCTGAAGCTGTTTAGAGGATTCTGAAAACCATTTCAGAGAACCGCAAAGTATTCTAAAGGATGCTGAAGGATTCTGAACGCTCCTCAAGGATTTTAAAAGATCCTTGAATATTCTGGGAGTTTCTAGAGGATCCCAGAGGATTCCAGAAGAATCTAGAGGATTCTGAAGACATGTAGACCATTCTAGAAAACCACATAGCGCCCTAGATGATTCTGAAGGATCCAGAAGGATCCTGAAAGCTCGTAAAGGGTTCTGAAAAGGATTCACGAGGTCTCTTAAAGCTTCTGAAGGATTTTAAAGGTCTCTGAATTGCTCTGGATACTTCTAAAAGTTTTTAGAGGATTCTGAATGATTCTAGACAGTTCAAGAAGTTTCTGAAATAATTCTAGATTTCTGGAAAAATGCCCCTAACCCCCGTTTCATATGTTTCAGTGGACGTGTCAACTGGTACGCTGGTCATCGCCTCCCTATGCCGATTCATCGAACAGCAGCTCAGCAAACCGCCTCCAATGCACTCAAAGGATCTTCATTCGACGGTGAGTAATGGTTGTTGGGCATCGGGAAAGATTCTGAAGGATTCTGGAGAATTCTAGAGCCTTCTAACAACTTCAAAATGATGCTACAGGATTCTGAAAGATTCTGGAGGCTTTTAAACTATTCTGAAGGATTCTGAAAGTCTCTGGCGGTCTCTAAAGGATTCTAGAGAAGCTCAGAGGATTCTAGAAAATTCTAGAGGCTTCTAGAGCATTATGAAGGATTCTGGAAGTTTCAAGAGGTGTCTAGGAGCTTCTGGAGGATTCTAGAGGACTTTAAAGGCTTCTGGAAGGCTCTGAAGATTTCTGGGAGATTCTAGAGGATTCTAAAAGCTTCTAGAGGTGTCTAGAGAATTCTAAAAACTCTTAAAGGATTCTAGAAGTGTATGGAAGATTCTGAAGGGGCTAGATGATGCTGGAGGCTTCTGGAAGATTCTAGAGGATTTTAGAGGATTCTGGAGGATCATAAGGGAGCCTGAAAGGCTCTAGGCTTTCATGGAGGATTCTACAGGATTCTGGAAGATTCTGAAATATTCTAAAGGATTCTGAAGAGATCTAGATGATGCTGGAGGCTTCTGGAAGATTCTAGAATACTCTAGAAGATTCGGACGGATTCTGAAGGGTTCTCGAGTATTCTAATGTATTCTGGAGACTCAAAACCCAACATTATGATACTCCAGGTTGTCGCCGCTTACAACGCTGTCGCTGTCTGGCTGACTGCGTCTCCACTTCTCGCAGAATGCGTTGGCGTGCTCGGAACGGTTTGTGACGTCATCCAGCTGGGAGTTACAGGAAGTAAATCTGTGAGTTTTTCTTCTTTTTTTGGAGGACAATTTGGCGGGAACTTGTATTAAAAACGATAGCTTTTTAGCTCAAAAAGCACTAGCTCAAAATAAAACCATCAAAAACAATCCCGATTTTGTCAGAACTGTTTTATACTTGTAGGGTCCTAAATGACCCTAAAAGGAACAGATTTTTTACCCCAATTTAAAAATTTTGCAGAGCCCAGACGTCCAAAAGTCTCGAGACACGGCGAAGCCAAAAGCAGCGAGTCAGAGAGTTCTCGAAGCGGCAGAAGCACTGATGTACACACTGTTCTGTGTGGTTGGACGAAAACCGGGACCATTGAGAGATGAGCAACGACTGGTGCACAAGTATGGAGCCGAGAGGATCAAATTGTCGAAATTCTTGCATGTTCTGGTTAATGGGGATACGTTGCTGTCACTTCATGAAGCATCGCATATTGATGAAATTCCGTCGGGTGAGGATTTTTTAAATTATTTGTATTGTTGAAATTTCCGGGAAAAATCATCCAGAGAAAGACCGATTGCTGTAGAAGGTCCCACAACGACGACTACCGTGACCTAGGAATTTTATCGATTTTTAGATTGTTTTTAGGTCATGACCTAGATTTTTCTAGGTCATGACCTAGAATTTGTTAGGTCATGACCTAGTTCTTTTTTAGGTCATGACCTAGATTTTTTAGGTCATGACCTGGATTTTTCTGGGTCATGACTTAGATTTTTTTAGGCCATGATCTAGGTTTTTTTAGGGCATGACCTAGATTTTTAAGGTCATGACCTAGATTTTACTAGGTCACAGCCTAGATTTTTTTAGGTTATGACCTAGATTTTTCTGGGTCATGACCTAGATTTTTCTCGAGGATTTTTTTGTCAATTGGAAGTGCAGTTTACACGAATTCTTATAAAACTCGGGCGGTATCACAAACTGCTCGCCAATCGATTTCGGTTGCTGTGGACGTGTGGGCGTGTTGGGTCCTAAAAAAATCTTTGTTTCTGTCTGTTTGGCCGGATGTCCATTTTGGAATTTTTTTCTTTCGCCTTGTGGCTCATCCTTGGAGCTCCTCCGGCGCTTCAAACACCTGGCTTTTGATGTATTGTCTCCTTACGCCTGTAGCTCTTTTCATTTTAAAAAAGTTTGCCTGCCTGCCTGGCTGCCCAGATGTCCACCACAACCAAATTATTATCACCTCACCAATAAACCCCCCCAAAACAAAAAATCCAAACTT